GCTGGTGACGTGCCAGCGCTGGTGGGCTCTGTGGGTGCACGTGGTGCATCGTGGGCCATGAAAAGAGGCGCTCTTGTTCAAGGTGGCAGGTTGAATGCGGCGCCTACTGTTGTTCTCGTGTCATGACCTCAGGGTCAAGATGCGGAGGAGCAGTCGCGCGCTCTCGCCCGATGGTTGGAACGCACGGGGCACCATGCCCCATGGGTCGAACACCCACTAGCATGGGTCAACGCCCTCAAATCGCACTTGCTTACCGGCAAGCGCTGTTGGATCCTCGGCGATGGTCTCGCCTTTCAGACGTGATGCCGGACGCGGACCTACTGTCAGAGTAGCGGGGGCAGCAAGCGAGCTATTTGCATTAACGAATGTGGAGAGCAGAAAATAATGAATCACAAACGTTTCATGCACGATTTATGTGATGCAGCTCCCCAGCACCATCGGGCACAGGCACGGTGAGTGCAGGTTCCGCGAAGCTCCCCGCCCTCCATCCGTCGTTGCTCATGCTGGCTACCACCATAGGATGTCTCTGCATGCATGATGATGAATTCGTTTGCAAGTACGCACAAAGCTCGTGGTTTGTTTCCAGGCCGCGCCAACGGGCAACGGCTGTGTGGTGATGAAAGCTGGCTGAAGAAACTAGACTCTCGTACGAGCCCCCGCATGACTGTGCGGCGCAAGTACACTGCATGCATGCTACGGTGGAGTTTGAACAGCTGGTCCTGATGACATCAGCAGTCCACCCTGGCCGCCCAGCGCCCCATTACACCGACCACACACCCGGACTTACAAAGCATTGGCACCTGACCCCCGACAATGTAACCGACGACCCTTTCTGCAGAAGGACACCGCATCATTACGATACAATACATCACATTACATTACATTGCATCACATTACATTACAATACATCAAGTTTCCAGCAGCGAGAGGAGAATCCCTGGCTCCGCAAGGGGGTGACGCCCTCAACCTTCAAGGCAAGAGGAGTCAGCGGGTGCGGTCAAGTCGAGAATTGGTAAGACGGCGCACGCCTCCTTGGCAAGAGAGACAAGCAAGCCTCCTTCCAAGCGAAGCGGTCAGAGCAGCGGTCGTCTAGGTGATGAACGGGGCATCAATCCAGATGGCAGCGCAGTGTCGCCTCGTTACGTCGAACCATGACACGCGTGGCCGCCCCACGGCGCGCGGGCCATGGGCGGCGTTCCAAAGCGCCAGGTTACGCAGACGAGTGACACCGCATCGGTTGGAGAATTTGGATGGGCTGGGTGGTAGGTATGTCGAGCTTCCCACAGATTGTCTAGCAACACATCCATATGTGCATCAAATCTACACAAGAACAGCTGCCGAGGCCCCGAACAGCCGCAAACAAGAAACGCAAGGCCAGCCGGGTCTCCAGCATGTGCTTGCCATTCGCCGCCGCCCCGCGCCGCCGAGTGGTCCAGCTCCTGCTGCGCTTTGGGCGTCACTTGGCAGTGCTGCCGCGCCGCGCACAAGCGGCTGAACGCATCGCGGCCCGCGGCGCGGACCTCTGACTTGCATCGCCGCACGAAGCAGAGCAGCGTCTGGTGCCACACGACGGGCATGGTGCGCTCGTCGTCCGCGAAGCGCGTCAAGTGCTCCGCCATGGCGTCGAACACCCTTGAAAGAAGTGGAGAGGGCGAGAAATTGACGAAGCGGGGGCGGGGGACGAGGGTTGGTCGGGGAGCGGGGGAATTACGGCCCGGCGGCGCCCCTTGCGGTCAAGCTTCGTCATAGTGCGACGCGGCACTCAGCAAGGGGATTCATCTTGTGTTGCAATCATGAAAATTGCAAACGTGTGTTCATGAGTGTGGGTGTGGGTATGGTTTAGGGCAGGGGCGTGACACTCGTGCGCGCCCCACTTGGCGGACTGCCCGGCGCGTGCAAATCTGCGCAATGAGGGACACCCCAGAAGACGAACGGTCACGTATACACACGCACAACACATAATCAAACATCCCTGCACCAGCCAAGAGCACACACACACACACACACACACACACACACACACACACACACACGCGCGGGTGCGCGCACGCACGCGCGCACACACGCGCGCACGCACGCGCGCGCGCACACACACACACACACACACACACACACACACACACATCAAAACCAGCAGCCGCATCCCCACACCCAACAAATGCGCAGGTGCCCCTCACAACTCGCCAAGCACCCCCCAAGCCTCTTTGCCCCTCACCCCCTGCGTTG